TTGGCTCGTGTGCCAAAAGTGGGGGGACCGCAGGGAGGTCCTACGAGCAACCCGAAAGTCACCCGGTTTGCTCGTAGTGTTGTTTTTTGCCCTCTGGAGCCTTCAGGGAAGCCTCCTGAGGGCTCCTGAAGGCTCTGGAGGACTAAAACCAGTCCTATAAGCAAGAAGTCACTTGCGGTTTGCTTGTAGTGTTGTTTTTTGCCCTTTGGAGGCTTCAGGGATGCCTCCTGAGGGCTCCTGAACACTCTGGAGAGCTAAAACCAGCCCTACAAGCAAACTGAAAGTCCATTCCTGAACTTCTGGTTTGCCCATAGGGCCGGTTTTTCATGCTCTGGAAGCTTTAGGAAAGCTACTGAAGTCTCCGGAGGGCCTCCGAGACTAGGGGGGAGGGGGAGACTGTTTTCACCCTCCCCAGACTCCTATAAAGCCTCTGTTGTCTGGATAGGGCGAAAAAAAGCACATCAGAGTCAGCATATCACTCCAACAATCTGGGTCCTCATTTTACGGACCTCAGAAGGATGGAAGACCGAGTCAACCTTCAGCCTGGTGAGATTCGAACTGCCAAATTGCAGTCAGGCAACAGTCAGCAGAAGTAGCCTGCAGTACTGCATTCTAACCACTGCGCCTCTGATGCTCAAAATAGGTTTGATGTTATAATTTACAATGTATGATTGCTTGCTGGGAAAAGATCATAATGAACTGATACCCTCATGACCAGCACCTACATTGGACTTATAAAATGAACTTGGATTCAAGAAGAGAGGGAGATAATGATGGAGATAGCAATAATGATGCAAATGACACTTATTCTACATACTGTATATACTATCTAGTTGCCATTAAGAACGTTTCTGTTTTTACATAGAGGACAGGACTGATTTAACTTAAAATGTTAACTCATTTAAGCATACGTAGCTTTAATTTGGAAGTCAAAGATTCTGTTCTTCTTGTTGTTGCTACTGCTACTGTAATTTCAGCCTCTCTTCTACAGATATTATTATATTTTAGATCTGAAAGCTAAATGCCATTAACTAAGCCAAAATGACCCATTTTGTAACATACAGTATACCTTGTCAGAGACTGAATAGCCCCTCTATTTTGAAGCAAGCTGTCAAAGTATAAAGGCTGACCTGCTTTGGATCATAACTGCTACCTGTTATGCCCTTATGTCTGAACATGTCATTTTAGGCTTTTTTTATTCTCATGCTACTTCCCACCAACAATGTTGTTTCCAAAGGTATTACAGATACTGCTGAATCCTGATCCCTTTTGTGCATGGTTCAAAGGGTAGTACAGAAGAGAACAGTGTTTTTTGCAGGATTTGTAAACTGAATTAGGATTTATAGTCAGGAATGCTTAAATGAGAGAGAATGTATAAGGTAAAAGTAAAGGTTCCCCTGCACATGCGTGCTAGTCATTTCTGGCTCTAGGGGGCAGTGCTCATTTCCGTTTCAAAGCCGAGAAGCCAGCGTTGTCCAAAGAGGTCTCCATGGTCATTGAGAGACCGCCTCCTGCCAGTCACCTCCCAAAGACCTATTAGATCCCACAGACTAGGCCTCCTCCGAATTCCATCTGCTGGCCAATGTCAGCTGGTGACTCCTCGGGGGAGGGCCTTCTCTGTGGCTGCTCCGGCCCTCTGGAACTATCTCCCTGCAGAGATCCGAACCCTTACTACCCTCCTGGCCTTCCGCAAAGCAGTTAAGACCTGGCTGTTCCGGCAGGCCTGGGGCTGTTGAACCATCCAGACCCATTCGAGGTTACGGCTGTTGTAGAATTTTAAATTGCTGTTTATTTTATTTTTTTGTATCCCTTCCCCTTTTTTATTGTGAGCCGCCCTGAGTCTCTCGGGAATAGGGCGGCATACAAACACAATAAAATCCAAAATTCAATCCAATCATGTGGCCAGTATGAATAAATGCCGAATGCTAGGTTGGCAGAAGCTGGGACAAGCTTGCTCCATTATGCGACGCTAGGGATTTCAACCGCTGAACTGCTGACCTTTTGATCAACAAGCTCAGCATCTTAGCCACTGAGCCACCAGGTCCCTTCAAGAGAATGTATACATGTGACCAAAGCAAAATAAATATTGTGAATACCATATCCTATTAATATAGTCTTTAACTAAGATGTGGGTCTGGCTACTCTTTCTTTAAAATCAGGAATGGAAATGAAAGTGTTTAGCTTTGTAATAACATTATAAAAATAGATATTCCTGTTTTTCTTTAAATTCAGATATGGAAAATTTAGTTCCCAAAACAGCCATGGGATTATGTCAAAAAGTCTACATGACAGGTGCAATCACACAAACCCCAAACCTTTTTTTTTACAAGCATCACACTCACAAAACATATACAAAGGTGCAGGTCCCTTCCCTGTTATTCTGTTCTGTTCCGTTCTGTTCTGTTCCATTCCATTCCATTCTATTCTATTCTATTGTCACCCTTCTCTGTACATACTATTATCAATTTCTCAGATTTAACTCACAATGTCAAATGTTGCAAATGATAATCTGTAGCTAAGTATTAACAGAACTTTATTTTCCTGGTCAGGCCGCTTCTTAATTAGCTTAGGTTTTCCTTTACCTGTAATAAGCCAGTTGATACTTTAGTATGTCAAATGTCTTAAAAGTGCTTCGTAAAGAGAGGGATATTCCATGGTTCCAAATCTTTACAGATTGTCAAACTGTGCATTAGGAATGTATGGAGAAGGTGAGGAACATCTTTTCAAATACAGCTAGTGATGAAGATGATACATATCACCTGTGCATAAGGTATGTAAGCAAGGTTACAGATCATGGAAGAAAGCTTGCTATTCCAAAATTCTAAGCTGGATGGCAGATTTATGTGCATGCAGTTATATGCATAGAGACTGCTGGCCTTTGTTGAGCTATGTGTCTGTTGGAATACTGCACTGGCTTAAACTGGCAATTTATCCTTATCCTTGTCTATATCCACCTTTTTGCTATTTGATGAGCCCTAGTGGCACTGAAGTACCTTATTTTTCAGAGTATGACACACCTTTTTTCCCCCTAAAAGAGGGTGGTGCGTCTTATACACCGAATACAGCAATTTTTTGCCTCCCAAAGCCCCACCCCCCAGCATCCCATTTTTGTGGAAAAAGGTGGAAAAAGAGCCATTTTTCACAAAAACGGGGGTGTTTTTGTCTCCCCCCCACCGGAGCACTCTGCAGGCTTCAGCAGGGCTGGGGGAAGGTGAAAATGCCCCCGTTTTGGTAAAAACTGGGGTGTTTTTGCCTTCCCCGAGCCCTGCTGAAGCCTGCAGAGTGCTCCTGGGGGCTAGGGAAGAGAAAATCTTTTTTTTTCTTACTTACCTCTTCAAAATCATGGTGTGTCTTATACACCGGTGGGTCTTATACTCCGAAAAATATGGTAAATTGCAGTATTGCAGGGAAACTGCAATCCTGATGGGGCTCAAGGTTGATTTAGCCTTCCAAGGTCAGAAAAATGAGGATCCAGATTGTTGGGGACAATATGCTGACTCTGGAAACCACCCAGAGGGTGCTGTAAGTGCTATAGGGTGATATAAAAGCCTAAATGCTATTGCTAATGCAATTGTTATATTTTAAAAAAAGTTTCTGACAGTTCAATGGACCACTTCGCATGTACCAATGACTGTCAGAATCCTCTATTCACATTCAACTTTCCCTTAAGCTGGGAAGCCATTCAATCATCTATACTCTGATGTTTAAGGACAAAAACTAGTGAAGGTTGACATGGTTCAAAAGAGTTGTCACTTTACCCCAGGTGCTGCAACAAATATACGGTTCTAACTCCAGGTCAGAAAGTTCAGAGACAGTAATAAAATTGGTGGATGACATAAAGAGGAAAATGAAGAGAAAAGCCAGGGTAGGGCACAAATAATCTATCCTGTCATTGGAATTACATCAGGGGTATCAAATACCCGAATTCGCCCCTTGATGTGGTTGGATGTGGTTGGCCATCCTGGAAAATGTAAGGCCCATGTCACTTCAGCCAGGTCTAGCCACTGCAAAGAGGAAACATTGAGCCAGCGTGGCTTCGGCCCGCTCTACCCAGTGCGAAGAGGAAACATGCCAGCATTTTGGGGAGTGGTGTCAAGCTGGCCACACCCACCCAGATGGCCACACGCACCAGTCGGCCATGTCCACCTGCCTCCCCCAAGGTCAACCACAGCCCTGATGCAGCCCTCAATGAAATTGAGTTTGATACCCCTGAATTAGATTTAGGAAGCTGGTTGGCCAGTGAAGTGGTTAAAAAAAAAGGAAGCAAAAGAATGCATCTGTTATTCCAGCAAAGATTCCTGCTTTGCTTTGCTACTTCTAGGAGGGAAAGATGCTATCCCAGGAATGTGCTCTTAAGATAATAGTGTTTTGTAAGTTCTACTTATATTTTTTCTATCCACTTTCTTTCAGAATTTTTAAACCTCTCTCAAATCTGCCTTGGTTCCTTGCTCTCCTTGTCAAATAGAAGCTATTTCAGCTTTTTTTTTTTTGTCCTATTCTTATTTCAAATCAGCTAGGATTTTTATCAACTGCATTTAAACATGGTTTGGAGAAGCATCAAAGCATTCCTAAATAAATCTCAGGGCACATCCGAGAGGACACAATGGAACGCTCTGATGAAATTAAGACTATTAATACCTGCATACAATCTGTCTCTATCTGTCTGTCTGTCTGACTCACTCTTTGTCTGTGTGTGTGTGTGTGTGTGTGTGTGTGTGCGTGCGCGCGCACACACACACAGTATATCTCAAAACAACATATGGACAACTGAATGGGGCATTTGGAGATGTTGAGGAAAACCTAACAAAACCATCAAATTAAAAGTTGGGTTCNTCATAAGGTGATCCCATGATCCCGGGACGCTGCAACCATCATAAAAGTGAATCGGTTGTCAAGCATCTGAATGTAAATCATTTGACCAAGGGGATGCTGCAACTGTCATGTGAAAAACGGTCATAAGTCATTTTTTTCAGTGCCGTCGTTACGTTTGAACGGTCACCGAGCGAACTTTTATAAGTCGAGGACTACCTGTACAACAAATGAGTAACTTGCCATCTTGGCACTTCGTAATGATATTCCACCTCGCTTTGTCCTGCCTGATTTCCATACGATGAGAGAGGCTTAAAACCGAATAGAGCGCATCTCTTTCTGAAAGATCTCTGCTGGCTACGTAAAGCGGTCACAAACATTCCGCTTTTGCAATTGTGTTGCTTAGGGATCTCCAGAGACCTGGGAGAAAGCGGCTGGCCTTCTTCCTTGCCCCACAACGTTCTTTCCTTTTCTTCTCTCCCTGGTTGGGCTCTATGCCTTCTCTCTCTCTCTCCACAGGTGTGGAGTGCTGAACTGTGAAGTCGTCTTGGCTTTGCTTAACCGAACTTTGAAGGACCCCAGTGAGTGCATCTGTATGGTGAGGAAACTCCTAGGAAAACTATCTACTTCAGCAGGTTGCATTAAATCTCTCTTCGGTTTGGCTGATAAGCATCATTTTCTGAAACTGCAGCCATAGAACTCCATTTTTTTGCAGCTGTCTCCTTTAGGGCTGACAGCAAGGATAGGATTTCTTTCTTATCCATTATATCAGTACACTCACAGTAGTGTAATGGGGAACAACAGCTGCCTGGGGGTGTTCATTTTTAGGGCAACACATTAAGGAAAGGCTCGGACTTGTGTTCCTCATAGCAAGCCTTTTAATACTATCACAACAGGTGGCAGCATCTGTGTGTCTTTAGCTGATTACTGAAAAGTTAAGCAATTGAGCTGATCTCAAAATCCAATACTTGACTGGTACAGTGCTAAGGCTTTCAGGCTAGACTGAAGCAAAAAATAATTACATCTCAGAAGGCAGCAGTGATAATCCCCTCCCCCGCCCTTCTTTCTGTGATTGTGGCTATGTACATATAGAACATGGAACATACCATTTGTCTCCCTAACCATGTGCCTTTTTAAAAAAAATCCTTCCACAGAGGGCAATGTGTGCCATCTCTTCCCTTATGTGCTCCGACTTGCTCTCCCAGGATCATATCTTTGCCGTTACCCAGAAACACTTGCAGGAGCTGAGTGAAGGGAGCCCAGGATGTGTAGCCAACAAAGCAACAAAGGTAAATCCTGTTTTTGAAATGTCCACTTCCTAGGACATCGGGCTGTATGTCCCTTGTACTTTGGCATTCTATGGCATTTCTGCATTCTGAATAGGTCTGTGTGGGTTGACATATAGCAGTGTTGGTGAAACTTTTCAGCACTGATTGCTGAAATGGGAGCACGCGTGACAGAAACCGGAAGAGCAGCCACCCGGTGCACATGTATATGCCGGCAAGATGATCTTCTGGTTTCTCGCATCACATGTGCACTGGACAGCTGGTCTTCATACATGCGTGCGCACCA